CTTTCAAACAATCCAGGATATGAACAAATTTGTGAACCTGAAGAAATTTTAGCCGGTAAACGTACTGAACTGCCAAGTAAAAAATCACTAACAGTGGAGCAAATAGCGGCTTTTGTACATGTGCCCTTAAGTTCCTGTGAGGTGGAAAGAAGCTTTTCCCACTATAAGGACATCTTACGAGACAATAGGAGGCGACTAACTATGGAAAACATAAAACATTTAGTAATTGTGAACTGCAACAGAAGAGAAGTTGAAAGTTCAGAGAGCTAAATGTGAGTATCATTGGTTTCTTTAAATGTGTAATGAAATATGTTGGCTTTGTTGCATGATTTGTATTTAAGTATAGCTTTTTATTGCAAGTGAATCATTCAGTGATTACATAAAATGAACTTAAATACTGATTTGTTGGTCTTAAAATAATGTAAAATCAATTTTAATATTTGGTATAAATTTTTATGTGCATATTTCGGAAGTTTTTCACGCATAAATGCATACATATTTAAGGGATTATTAGGGCATAAAAATCCGGTCCCTAATTATGACATATCACAAGAAATCAAGCATGCACTATGTATGTTACCAGTATATCACACTTTTTATAATATATACACATGGGGGTTTTTTTTTACCATCTGGCTGCAGTGTTCTACGAAACTCATCAACTAGCTCTCTTGGAAGTCCACATGATGGTGGAACTTTTGATTCACAATCACGATGGCACTTATATTTACATTCCTTGCACTTCAAACCTGAAAAATTAAAATCAATATGAATTTAACTATCGAATCTTTTCAGATGGATAAATAAAGACAACATTATCAATTGCAACTGCAACAATAATGGTTCTTCAACAATACTGTACAAACACACAACCTTCTGAATGAGTTGGTATGGTGGGCATCAGTTATTACATTGGAACTCATAATAAATTTCATTCTATAAAGTAAGACAGAATTATGATCTGTGCAATTTATTGCATATCCAGGTACCAGCATTAATGAACAGAGCATCACTGTAACAGCAATCCAAGCTTAACAATCACAGAGCATATAATCAGCCATGTTCTTGAAGGTTAAACAAACAGCATAGGAGAATGTGGACTGGATTTTATCTGGCTCAGGATCGAGACCAATGGCAGATTCTTCAGAAGGCATTACCGAACATTTGGGTTCCATATAAGAGGGTAATTCCTTGAGTAGATGAAAATTACTAATTTTTCAAAAATGACTCTGTTTCATGGTGCTGGTTACTACCCTCCCATCTACAATCAGTCTCCAAAGTAGTACCTCTCCTTCAGGTTTTCTGACTAAAACACTGCATGCATTTTCCATCTCTCTCATGCATACTACATGCACTGTCCATATCATCCTTTTTGATGAGATCATCCTAGTAACATTTGGTGAAGTGTACAAATTATGAATATCTTCATTATGCAGTTTTCTCAAGCCTCATGTTACTCTGATCTCTTAGGCCCAAAATATTCTCAGAACCGTGTGCACTGACATAACTATGCATGAAAATGACAAAGTTTAAATGAATATATAACAAAAAATTATTTACTAACCTGTACCAATAAACATCTGTTTATCACAAAAATCACAAGTGGCTATCATCTTAAATGTTTTTGTAAATCGATGGTTTATAGCATGGCACATTGGACGAGTTACCGTCGGAGTACGTGGAGATTTCGGAACTTGCAAGGTAGCTGGAAATAGCCAAAGTTGCATAATGAAATCTAGTAAGACATATCTGGTTGCTAGTACTTTCAATGTAAATACATACTTGATTAATCTAGTAACATTTTCTATACATGGTAACTAGCAGCAATTAGGCAATGTCTGTTAAATAAAGAGACTGAACTCCCAGCTGTCAAAACTATTTCTTTGATCCACAAACAGAATGCGTGGCTGTTCATTTTCTCCTAATCATGTGCTAAAGTGTGACTGAACATGTTCAATTAGTGTATATGCATATAAGTGTTTCTGCTGCATACTGAAAACATGCTAGACATAAAAATTCCAGGAGCTGACACCAAACTTTTAACGTAACTGAAGAAAATCACAAGTGAAACCTACCAGTTATTTTGTGAGGCGTATGAAGAAGACACCCAATTAAGAAAACAAGTTTTGAATGGTACGAGTTTTCTGGAAGGAGTAGAGGTGGAAGATGCAATTGAGTTGCCCAGTAATAGTGAAAACTTTGGAAAAACTGCGTGCTCTTTCATTAAATGACCACGGCTTGAGCATCAGAATAGTAGCAGAATAATTAAATACAGATAAAGGAACATCAAGATAAATTATAACAAAAAAAAAAAACTGAACACATGAAGCATCAAGCATCCTGGGAAGTATCAAAGAACATCCAGACTGAAATAGTGCGGTCACCTGTGTTGAAATATGTCTGTTTCTGTAGGACCCAGAAATGAAATGGTAGTTAGTGCAGTGGAAAGTAACTCATTCTCAAAACCAAAGCCAACAAGAATGTCAAATCCGAAAACAAGACAATTCTCATCATTTTCCTTGATCTTGAAGGAATTTTCATGTCTGAGTATCACTCTCCCAGTCAAAATATGAACTAGAAGTATTACACTGGGTTCCTGTAAAAGTGAAAGAAATAATTCAAAGAAAGACTGGACTTGTGTAAAAGCAGGTAGCTTCTGCACCAGGATAATGCTCCAGTGCACAATGCTCTACTGGTTCTGCAGTTTCTGGCCAAAAAGCAATATCCTATACTCAATCATATCCCTCACTCAACAAATCTCACACCATAGGACTTCCTCCCAAGTTAAAATGTTCACTGGAAAAGCACATTTTCAATCCTTTGTGGAGATCCAGGAAAAAAGTTAGAGAGCCACTGAAAGGGCTTCCGCAAAACTATTTTTAAGAGATACTTTCAAATATGGCAAGAACATGTGCAACACTGAGCAGGTGTTCAAGGGAACTAGTTTGAGGGAGATCGCTTGTAAAGTTCCGACAAAATAGTTTCATATGTCTCATTATTTAATAGCCATGCCATGTATATCATGAGAAATGTACATACATTACAGTATTTAATCTCATAATTCACACATTGCCATAATTCCAATAGAAATTCCACATTAAAATAGAACATACATTTACAACTGTTGTCATCGCTGCTATCTATGCCCACAGAATTGTATGGAGGAGATTTCATAGGACTTGATATCAAAGGTGATGTATGACCAATTTCACTGCAATATGGACCAGGTTCAGTAGGAAGACGGCCACGACGTGGTATATGTTCCACACTATAACAAATTAAGATACAACATATTTACATACCAAATATTCAGCCCGTATAAAAAGAAGTTTCTTAATCTACCAGACTCCATAATAGAGTCCTCTTTCAGCAGCATAAAGTTATTCTCTTGGTTAGAAACTTCCCTGTTACAAAACCTGAATGAATGTTTCATCACAGTTGGCATGAAAAATTGCCACTGAAGTCTAACTTGAACCAGTTCATATCTTCAGAGCCTATTTCTCATACAATCTATTTTAACAGTCTACCACAAAATAGTGCATTTAAAAAGTAAAAATAATTACACAATTTCTGGCACACAGCTGCAAAGAAACAAACCCTGATTTACTAATGTACTTAGACGAAACACGTTTATTGGATGTTCATGTGACACGAAGTTGGAACAAACAGCGAAAATTAACTTGGTAACTGGAAGTAAACATAGTTGACCAGATAATCAATTTCATTACTATGTTTCTACAGACTGTCATGTCTCCAACTTTCAACATAGCGTATGGAAGACCTACGCATAGCATACCTACAAGCACGGGTGATGACACAGTGCTAGCATGCTGCTGTCATTCCATGCTTCTGATCTGCGCTACAAACATATATCACTTACCTGAAGCTCCCATCACTATTCTGAAACTGAACCATCCCATCAAATTCATCACCTTCATAAGCACTACCACACTTTCATTACCATCACTGTCACTGTCCATACTAAATTTATATAAACACTGTTAATACTTTAAAGAACAATCATTTCACATTTACTACAACCATGTTCTCTTGTTAATAACATACACACAAAATGGGAGCCAAACTTCTTCCCCCATGGTCTTCAGCCTTTATTCCCACTGGTTCTATACCAGTTCCAGGTAACAGGATGGATTCAACCTAGTCCTTCATTCTGATCCAAATGCTCTATAAGACAGATAATTAGGACAATACTGTTACACGTTCGGGGGGGGGGGGTTATGCATGATGAATGATTGGATCAATGGATTTAATATTTTCTTAATCACACTCAATTATAATATTATAATGCTATCACTCTTCCACACACTTTCAATTCACTGTTGCTCATGCACTAGGATTCTGTCTTCACTAGTCATCTCCTGGCAACCAGTCTCAACATAGAAACTAGCACTCCAAATCACTATGAAGTCTTCTTGTTATTTTGTCTTCAATCACCTTGTACTCCCCTGCCCTAATCTGTACTCAACTAATCTTCACAATTCATTACGGACATGCTCCATTCACATCCTTGTACTCTCAACTAAGCTACAACAGGTCCTCATTATATAGGTTCAGCACGGACCATACAGAAACACAAGCCATGTGTTTGGTATATCACCAGTCCACTGGCATGCTGACTGCTGCCCAGCAACAAGCTATGACATTCATCCTATTGTTGCGTGCACATATTTCAGGGGTTTATCAAGCCGCTGACTAGCAATGCATTGAGCAAATCCATTACAATGTGAATGTAGTCAGACTGGGATAACCCATACTTTCCCACACCTCATCCATGGAATATCTCACATTTCTAGGCTTAAATTTCTTAATCAGTTCAGACAATGGGTATCAATACCATTACTAAATGAAATTCGCACCTTCTATCAGACAGACATGTGACCCTTACTGCTCTCATCTCAGCTTGCTCTGCTGATATAATTAAGAAAACCTCTGCCTTCTCTTCATCCATAAATGTTAGCATACTGTGGCATGTAGACCAATTACTAGGCAATGATCACAAAAGAAGCAGCTATACAACAGCTGTTTGCTAATTAATGGCCTTGCAAATAAGCATGTTTCCACAGCAATAATGGAACAGTGTTTTCTTCCAGTCCATGCCAAGTTGTTATAAGCAGGACAGTTAGTGAGAGTCAGTTGAGTTGAGTGAGCTGGTTGGTGAGTGACTGAGTTAGTCACATGGAGAGTTAAAGAACTGCTGAGGCAGGGGATAGTTTGAAAACCCAGAGGACAGGGAATGTCCATCACTGGGAGCTGCTACTGAGCAACAGCTAGTGAAGACATGACTGTGGATACTGTGTGTGTAACAGTGAAACATAAAACGTGGTCACACACTGTATCAAAGAGTCAAATAAATTTAATCAGCAATACAAAACTCACTCATACATGTGACAATACTGTTCATTACTTCCTTGCCTCTAGACCATTCTGCCTTTCAGTGTCATCATAACCAGAGGCATGTTCTCAAAACTTTTCTACATTAAAACCTCGTGTCTCAGCAATATGATTTGCTAAGAACCAGTAAATTACTTTCAATTAAAAGTAAATTTCTTTAAAAAACTCACTGAAATATTCACCAGTCACAACAGTAACAACACAGCAAACTGAAGGACCCTTTGTTCCACAAAGCAAGCAACACAGCCCTCACCATTCAGGCATTTACCAATCTCACTGTCACATGAGCTGTTCTGCAATGGCTAGTATGCTTCAAGTAACAGTGCAAGAAATGTATTGTCACACGTTGGGTAGGTGACACGACAAATAACTTCACGCCGTTCTGGATCTTAGCGAATTTATTGAACACTCACTCTTACATTTACACAATTCACAATTTCACAATTACTACCATCTGCAGTATCACAATTACTTCTCCTGCTGTAGTCACTTCCATTCACTTGATACAACTCAACTTGTAGCTGCTGGACTTCAACTCATACTGAATACTGCTCTTAACACTTTCTCTCTAGTAACTGGCTCTCTCTGAAGAATACTCCTCATTATGTAGTTTCCGCACTGACAACACAGAAAACAGTTACATGATAGCTACCACTGTTGCATAATGTCGTGTTTACCGACTGTCTAGCAATTGTCTCTGCACAGACTCGCCTGTTGCATGATGTCACAGACTAGTGGGGAGGGGTGTCTACCGAGCGTTGCGTAGTTACAGGATGAGTGGGGTATGCAATGTCACTCACATCTCCTGTCAAATACTTAGAGCCATAGTTGACGCACCTTGGTACGTGTCAAACCAAACTCTTCACACCGACCTCAAGATCCCATATGTAAGAACCGTAATCACAGACAGAATCCAAAAACATTATCAGAAACTGGAAACTCACCCCAACACCGCAATAGAAGCTCTCCTTCAACCTACACAATACAGAAGACTAAGACGAACTTGGCCAAACGATCTCCAGGAAAACTGAAGCGTAATCGATGGATTACAGCTCTTCAAGCCAACTTAGTACAATAGAATAACTATTGTACATGACAGCAAATTAGCTCATAGAATGCGAATTCAGATTGCTAATAAATGATAAATAAAAAAAAACATCTCCTGTTGCGGAATCCAAGCATTCACAGAGTTGTCACCTAGCAACGCATCAATACAATCTGCAACTCTCATGTTGCGCATGTGCCTGAGGCCTCTGTGGCTCAACTGTTCCTGCATAGAGCCAATAGGCCACAGTATGTTCATTTATATCAGCAAAAACAATCCAGTTTCAACATTTTATCATTATCACTAGTCTCTGCCTATATACAAATGATCTCACAATCAATTACACTGTCCCATTACCATAAATTTTTATGTCTTCAAAGTCAAACATAATTAATATCTAGTGTGCAAGATGATTCACCTGGAAGAGGACCCAAATTAATAATTACAAACCCCACATTTTACTTATGAGAACACAGCTTGGCAACATTGTGTAGTACTGAAAAAGGACCCAGTGTTTGCCTTGTTCATGACATTTCCTGTACTCTGAAATTCTATGCGTTATGCAGCAGAATAATGTATATGACTGGGGAGAAAGTCTGTTTCACATCCTTGTACTGGGTCACAGAATCATTCAAATGCCATCAGGCAGCTTTCAGAAACTGTTTCCATACTGCAGCGGCTTCAAAGGGTGCTATCCAGAGGCTGGTATGAAAACTGCAAACTAAAGGATCCTTGCAGCATAGAAGAAGTCAGTCCGCAATGACCAGTAACACAGTGCATGACATGTAGCAGCAGCTCCTGGCTTCACCTGCAAAGTCAGCTGTCACACCAAACAGACTGGCATATACTATTCAACATGTCAAACAGCAAAACAGAAAGCAAGGATTGTGAAATGGTCATCCAAGAATTCAAACCTCTTGCCATAGAGAAAAGATTGGCCTACTGCCAATTAATTCAGAATTTGTTGCCTTAAACTTCAACATCTTGGACATCACTTGGTTCTCTGATAAAGAATACTTTCCTTTGTAGGGATACATCAGTTCAAGAACATATGTGCTCTGCTGCAAATCCTCATGCTAATCATGGGGAGTCCTTCCATTCATCCAGAGAGAGAGAGAGAGAGAGTGGGGAGGGGATTATATACCCACATAGTTGGTCCCATTTCCTCAACAGTATCATCAGCACCATATGTCTGCCTTAACATTTTCCACAAATTTTTTAATCAGTAGGCTAACTGGGAGCTGACACTTGGTTATTTGCACCCCAAGATGGGGTGATGTATCACATCCCACTGGACCTTTGGAAAATGAAGAGTTTCTTATGGGGTAGGATTATCTCAAAAGGATTTCTGACACCCCAGTCTGCAGACATGACTCTGCTGGACATCTTCCTATGGGGTCTATTGAAGGGCTGACTGTTTAAACTTAAACCTTACACAGCTGATGGCCTGAAATAAACACTACCAACAACACTGCTGAAACATTTGAAAACACGGAGTGCTATGCCAGCCCTTGTCTCCATGCAGTGAAAAACCTATTTCAACATCAAATGTGATCCAATTATCTCCACAATTACCAAAGTACGCTACTTGTCAAGTTTTATTTTCACAACAAAATTACCGCATGACTTATAATTATTAAGTAGGACCTCTGAGTGAATTACCCCATAGCTGGACAATGCCACCATGTTATAATGGACTAACTTCTTGACAATTCAGAGAACATGGCCATCTTCATGACGTGGTAATTTGACTTTGCCTTCCAGATGGAGAACACTAGAAACTCCAAACACTAGCAAACCAGCTCACTGCAACACAGTGCTGTAAACTGAGAACAAAAACTACCTGACATGATGACAGTACAGTTTAACAAGAGAAGTCAACTGCTGTTAACACTACAGCCGATAAACAATGCACATGACAATTGGTTTCCACAGCAAGTCATGCACACAACAAAAGAGGAACTGTTGGAAATGGTGTTTCTCATTGGATCTGCCCCAAGATTATATAGCAAGCACAAACTAGACAACTTATTCATTCAAGAACGTGAGGGAGTCACTGTCATGAGTTGAGCAGTTCACTGTGAGATGGCAGCCAGCCAGCAACAATGAAAGCAGAGGACATTCCTGGGATCTGTTATCAGGCAACAACTGGTGAAGACACAGCAGATGGAAAGACTTAGTGTGTGCCATAGTAAGAAGTCAAGTGCGAGCATTAGTGTGAGCATTACAATTACTTATAGTTTGGAGATGTAAGAATTCAATAAATCCAATTACACAGGTCTGCAAAAATATTTTTTTTTCAGCTGCATGGAATATTTTTTGTAAACTTCATGTTTTCTAGGATGCTGAATCCAAAAATGACCTCAATTTCCCCCTATCACGTATGATTTTTTGGAAAATAATAGGGGGTTATAATAAAAAATCATAACAGTGATGAAAGAAATCACTAATTTTATTACATTGAACTAAACATTATTTCTCATAATTAAACAAACAATTCCTTCATGATATATTTAATATTCTGTGTTCAGACTTTTTGCCTGTGAAACCTTTTCTTCTTCTCTTTGATGATCCTCCGAACAATGTCCAATGGAGTTCTCTGGCTCGACTGTCCCACAGGCATAAGAAGCAGGGATGTTTTGTATAACCTGCCTGCTGGCCCAGCAACATGGTTAATATTTTGAAGTCTCCACAAACCATCCATTGATGTTCTTGATAGTTGACTTTCTCAAGAATCACAGCCAAATTGTTATAGTTTTCTTCCAAATGCTCCGAGTGTCCCATAGGAATTGATGCAAATGTATTTCCATTATGCAGCAAGACTACTTTGAGGTTTGTTTTATACGAATCAATGAAAATGCGCCACTCAGATGGATCATATTCTATTTCAAAGCATTTCATGAGCCTTTGAACATCATTACAAAATATGAGATTTCCTTCTTTGGAGAAAAACTGAGTGAATTCTTCTCTCGGTGCCTGTACCACAAGAATGATGTTCCAGGTGACAGCAAGTTTTATTTTTTAGTCTTGACCCTAGCAATTCGGCTGCATCTTTGGAAAGGCCTAAATCTCTAAGTCACTGAGCTCACTCTGAGAAAAAGGTTAGGGTCCCTCATCAACAGAAAAATCTGAGCTGGATTCATCCTGGGGTGGTAATATAGTTCTGTCCTTCGAATAACTCTGTATATCATCCAAACTGGAAGGTGGGAGGGGAACTGGTATTTCAGAGCTATGAGGCACTGGACGAATAGCTGAATTAAGGTTTGGGTAAGATATTTTATTTTTATTTTTTGTATTAAAGCCTTTCACATCTACCAAACAGAAATAACAATCAGTCGTGTGGTTTTGCTGTTCACGCCACATCATAGGAATGCCAAAACGAAATGAGTTTTTCTTACCCTTAAACCACAAACGAAGATCTTCCTCGCACCTTCTGCACACCTTGTGAGGAGCCCAAGGTTTGTCTTGATCCCCAAGTTTCAATTTGAAATAAGCAAAATACACTTTCTTCACAAAATCACTTATGTTTCTTTGTTGACTTTTAACTATGTATTCACCACAAATAAAACAAAAGTTGTCCAGAGAAATAATACAACCTCTTTGAGCCATAATACAGAGCTAAAACACAAGCACAGTCGCGTTTGAATGCAGTATGTAAACTGAGTGGCTTATACATCAACCAAGATCCTGAACTTATTTAGCATGTTGAGACATGATCAAATCTGACAGCAGGCTTGTTTATACTCACTCCTATTGCCCCAAAGAACATGTCCAAACATGCTCAACTGAGCTAGTAAGACTCCTCACCTTTCGCTACAAACAAAGTAAACGTGTTGGGACACGATCGCCTGAGCTCCTCACACCACCAAATCCACCCTACCAACCCCTTCCATGGCCCCCCCCCACAATCCCAACCATTTTCTATTTGTATTATTTTTTAGATTCACTCTTATAAATATTATTTTAAAGTAAGAAATAATTATTGGACATGGCTTTTAGAATCAACAATAGGATACCAGATTTCATGCAAAATTAAACTAAAAATACGAGTTTTGCAAAAAAATTGACGTGATATTTTTTTACTATTTTTTCCAGTTTTAGTGAGTAAAAATCTATAAGAAATAGTAAAAATATCCTATGCAGTTTTTTGGTTGCAGACCTGTGTTATCAGTCCAAACCCTATGTCTAGTCACTAAATATGTGACACTGTATTCACTTCAGACTCTGCGAAAGCCTGAAGCTTTTCATAATGGACATTTATTTATGTCAACACCAACGCTACATTTGAAACACTTCCAATATGGTCACTCTCTGCATACAAAAATAACCAATTTCATTATTTCAATATTGAAAAAATTATTTTACCCCAAATAACCCAATAATAATTGGAGAAAAACAATGTACAGATGCTTTTTCATGCCATATACAGGAGCGTGTCAATGTAAAAAGAGAGAAAAACAAATATGGACATTTCACTTAGAGAGCAAAATAAGCAAAAATAATTAAATGAATCAGTTCACTCACTTAGAAAGGTTATCAGCCCCTTCCACACGATTGCCTAATTGTGATTCATGTGATTTTGACTTAGTAAGTGGATACACATCAGCTGGTTGCTGTAGCCCTGTCAGATGCTTCTTGCAAGGAGGTGGAGTTGTTGGGAACTTCCCCCTATCTCCACCTAAAATATTAAGAGAAACACTTAAATGAACAGTCGCGCCTTGTGATAAAAGCAAGATGTAACTTTTTATTAAACATTTATCAGTCTCAATACATATGATAATTTACAACCTTGTTATGGCCACAGTTACAATAGTGACTATGTAATCAGAATGGCTGTGCCATAGCTCAAGCAGTTAGTCACTGGCTTCTCAGCGCAGCGTGGACAAAGTGGTGCTAGGGCAGGTTATCTCCAAGTACTTTGATTTCCCCTGCCAATCTTCATTCCACCAATTGCTCTACAATCACCCTCACCTATCATCTGGGGCTGGTACAATAGGCCAGAAGTGGCCACAGTGCAAGTGCCTTAATCCCACCACACTAGCAATAAAAAAAAATTTAATCAGAAGATTCATATCAAATATTTCATCTTAAAATGCACAACTACAGTAAAAAAAAACACACCTGTTATTGGGAATGATGTATAGATATCATAAATTCCAACATTCAGATATATTCTGAAGATCAATTTATAATATCTGATTTTAATCTCTAGCAATTCACATCATTACTAGCACCTCTACAAGAGTTACTTTATTTTGTATGTTATCATAGCCATTCTACTGATTATGATAAGTAAAGTAATGAAGAACCACAATATATGGCTCATGATCTCATCAAAACCTGCTTCCAACACTGGGACTATACCTGTAAATTACCTTAAACATCCACCAAAACAGATATAACTATTTATTACAAAACTGTGGTAAATACAGCAAAAGTGAATGCAGTAGTTCAGAAGAAGTTCAGAGACTACATACAGCTAGATGTCACTGTGGTCTCACAACATTTTATTATACCAAATAGACATGTAAATTTAACTCACCTTTTCCTTTGCCAACAGGTGGTGTTGAAGGTGGTGTACACGGGTGTATAGGAGGTGAAAGTGGGGCATGACCTTGATGTGTTGGTGTGCTAGAATGGGGTAAAGAAATAATGGAAGATGTGGATGAAGCCGCTGCAAGAGTAGAGATGGAACCACCTAAGTTGTTACAGTTGTTGTAGTTATTATTGTTGTAAGGGAGACAGTCCTCTGACGGAACTGAGGAGCGTTCAGCTCGGTTTCGAGGAGGTCGCGGTGAAGTGCTACCAGCATTCTTCATTACTTGGTGATGATCCCATGAATCCCAATACAGAGCAAGCTCACCTGCCTCACTGGGTGTCTCATCACGCAAAAGAATTTCTGAAAATAAAGAAAGAAGGTGGTGATAATGATCCTACCGCTGGAATGTACTTCTGTCATCTGTAGAGTAAGGAGAACAGTGGAAGTGCTCTAAATACTTGTAGGTATGTGTAATAAGCATTCAATAAATTAAAAAAAAAACAAGTTATGGAAACAACTTATGGCTACTTTCCTTCAAATGCTTAAATGCATTTATATGGAGGCTAGCAGGGATTGTAAACAAATAATTATACAATTTGAATATCCATTTCTGCAAATAAATTCCACCAGCATACATTCCAATTACCTAAAAACTCCTAGATATAAATTTACATTTTGTATGGTATGTATAGATTAAAAAAGGTTTCATACAAAATTTGTCGGTATGGTTCATGTGTTATGACCAGGGCCCAAATTTTGATGACCTGAAAATATTTAAAAAATGACCTATAAAATGACCGAAAAATCCCAAAAAATGACCTAAAATATGACGCAAAAATGTAATATGCAGGGCCTGGATTTTGATGATCTGAAAATATTAAAAAAATTACCGTAAAAATCCAGAAAAATTACCTAAAGGAGAAAAGAAAGAACACTTCGCTTCCGCGTTATTCACATTTCAGAAAACATATGAACAAAAATGCCCTAAAATGGCCCAAAATGACAAGAAATACCCTTAAAAGTTCAAAAATTTACCAAAAATAACTTATAAAATTTACTTTTCTGTAACCAGCAGCTCATATCTGAGATTTATATATTTAAGAGCATCACATTGGATACAGGGGAACAAAGATGACATGTCATCAAAATCTGGGCCCTAGTTATGACTATGAAATATAAACATAAATATAACTCTCATTTTTAATTGTACAAAGAAATTACTCTAACCAAAGCTCTAACAATATAACTGTAAGATCCTACATTCTTTTAATCTTCCTTGTAAAATAAGGAAAGGGAAGAAAAATGTAACTTGCATACCTTATAATAACATTAATACATACCTGTGTACTTCTTAAGATTGTGCAGGGCTCGGTTGAGGCGGCGCACCTCTTCTTCCCTTGCATTTCTTTCACTAAGGATATTACGGAGTTCATGCTCAGACCTCTCTTGTAATGCTTCCAGTGTTCCTACTCTCTGACATACACCCTACAAAGACACAAGAATGCATGTAAAGTGAAGGGCAAAGTTATGAATCACAAGTTTCACAAAAATATTTGTACTCATGAACACGTTAAGCCTCCAAAATGCTGTTTCACTTATCAACAGTTCCCTCAATTAACCAAACTGCTGTAGTTTTAACACAAGGAAGAAATGAGAACATCAATGAATTCACAAATCTAGGAAGTGTAACCTCTCAAAGAAACACTGATAAACAAGGATGTCTCAAATAAGATCAGAAATATATATTCCAATGAGGACCAAATATTTTCCAAATTAATTCTTCATAATTTGTTACACCTCAAAGGCTTTCATTTTCATTTACTGTACATATAAATACATTTTTGTAAAGCCAATCACTCTTCTTATCTCTCTGCACAAAGTAAGAAATTTTCCCCTCCATTTCAATAAACATTCATCATATTGAAGAATGTTTCAAGTGAAAACTGTATATCCTAATGTTATTTACAATTTGTCATGCACTATATTATGAATAATCAATCATTTTTTAGATAATCAGTACATCTGGTTAGGGGTTCATGTAAGCATGATTTGGACTATGATAAACTACAATTAAATTTACCTGACAACTTTTACCGTAGGCCCCCATTATCAAATTTAACTTCACTCAATAGTTCTGGAGATAAAACATGTGGCCAGAACTTACTGCCCTACTACAAATTAATTTTATGTCTACTTACAAAGAACACATAAAAGACCATAAGACACAATGAAGAAAGAATGCTAATGAAATGAACAGAAGAGACAGACCTGCTTAACATGTTAAATGTAGCAAATGAACTAAATTATACAGAAACTTGAATTTACAAACTATATCAAAATATGCCTTACTGAATAACAGCCTAGATCTAGTATCTATTCTGGCATACATCTTCATAAATCAAACACTAAGTATGATATGATATATGTCATGCCTCCAGGAAACTCCTGACATAACTGAACAGCCACTGCTATGAATTTAGGCTTTCACGACATTCACTATGCAGTGAGATTATCAGATATGAAATATGGCAGGATGATTTTTAATAATGAATTGAGTGGCATAAACGAGAAAATGGTCAGGAGAGTTTGAAGAATGGTGTGTAAGTGAGCTGCATGGAAACACGACATTCAATGAAGCAAAAGGTTTCGCAACATTTGGGATTATTGAATTTTTGGCCTTTGTTCAGCTTCTAATATTCTAAAAAGAAAGACACACAATACTTTGGAACCCAGATCTGTTTCTTCCATCAGGTGAAAAGATGTGAAGCACCCACTCTGTGGGACCTACAGAAAGAGCTAACCTCAATCACTGGACATTGATGTCAGTACAATTACATCTACATATGCTCCTGAGATCAGGTTTTGTCAAAAGGAGTGTAACTGGAAAATTCACAATACGTACTGCAGAAACGCTTATGTAGACTAAAACTAAGAGAGAAAAGTTGAAAATTAGTGCTTCAAACAAATCCAGCAACCAAATTCAGACACACGAAAGCAGAAGGAAACAAAAGCTTCAGGGCTATACAATACCCACCTACAACTAATGCCATCTCTGGACCAAATATTTCATACTGACCTTCCCTCTAAGATGCCAACCTCCATGGTGACAAGGAGAGTCCATATGGCAGAAAATTTCCAAATTCAGTTGGCTGATCAGATTTGCTAAACATGCCATATCAGCTGATTCCCTGTATATCCAATGTCTGCTGTTACTTCCAATTTCTAAAATCTTGGCTTCATCCTAGCCACTTTTAATTTTTCTAAAGGACTCTCTGAGACTGTGTCTATGTTTGTGGAGCCACATGGCTAGTGGTCTGCCTGTTCCACCAATGTAACTTCTGCCACATTCACAGTGAATACTACAAATGCAGTGGGCTGTCTGCTGCAAATTTCTTTCTGGTCTGGTACTCAAGAATGAACGCCTAAGGGTGGGATCAGTCGTGAAGATAGTCCTAATGTTGTAAGCTCTCCTACAAGTTTGAACTTTTCAGAAATGCCAGTCACACAGGGGTTAAAGAAGAGCCAAGAGGCTTTTCCTCCCTTCTGGACTATTACTATTCCTGGAATTAATAAATGAGTTATGTATTGCTGGGGATAACCACTTCCTGAAAAATTCAGATGGAAGATCAGGTTTATGTTGGAAAAGTTACAGTTGTCTGTCCCTAACATAGCTACAGAGGAGGTGAAAGAATAAATCTTTGAAACTCAACAAAAATACTGCGATTTTGCAGAGAGACAAAGGTAACTGCACTGTGGTATTGGATGACCTGTAGTATAAGTTGAACACTTTGTTAAAGCCTGGGCTTATGACCCCCCCCCAATAGATCTTAGAGCTAAAGTTGAAAGGAAAGTACAGAAACTCCTTGCCAAACAACACTGTCCTCCCTACTGATCTACAGCACAAGCTGATTCTATATTACATTAAACCTCTGCCTTTATGAGGTCTTCCTCAGATTCACAAACGAGATATGTCTTTGAGACCTACAGTGAGTTTCACTGAATAACCATGTTACATCCTGACTGGATTCCTTCATAATTGAATCCTTTCACAGGTAAATCAGAATTTTTTGTGAAGAATTTAGACCACATAATACAGTTTCTTACATCTGTAACCTTCAAGGACCAGATACCCTCATCAGCTTCAATGTTGTTAGTCCTTTCACTAATATACCAGTTGAGGAAGCCCTACAAGTCATCAGAAATAAACTCCATGACAATCATACACTTGTGGAATTGTTCAGCTTGCAAGTCTAAGACATCATGGAATTACTGGAAGTTTGTCTGAGAAGCACCAACTTTCAGGCAGGTGATTGTCACAGGTCTTTACAATCTTCATGAAGAATTATGAGTAATTGGTTTTTGACATAGCACAACACAAAATGTCACTGTGGCTCTGGTATGTAAATGATACATTTACAGCCTGGCCTTATGGTCCAGAAAGGTTAAAGAATTTCTTCAAACATTTTAATACACTATCATCTTCCACCCAGTTTACCGAGGAAACAGAATCTGACAGTATGATTCCTTTTCTGGAAGTTCTTGTCACCAGAAAAGGGTCAGCACTTATTACTAAGGCATACAGGCAACCCACCCACAACTGGCTGCTAACTTTGAATCTAATCATCCACCATATGTCAAAAGAGGAATAATTCAGTGCCTACACAGCAGAGCTTCTACCACATGCCAAGATCAGCAAGATCTGTTACATAAAACTGACTTCAGATATGTAATCTTCAGCTTAGTGGTAACCCCCCAATGGTTCACTCATTCAGTCCATTATTCCAAGGACAGTAGAAAAGCCTTAAGCTCTATGTTTATCTGCTATGTGAAGGGCATTCCAAAGAGTTCAAATGTAGAGAGAATCATTAAAACATCAGGCCTATCTTCAAAACATACTCTTACAACTCCCTCATAAGAACTAGACAAGCAAGAAATCTGCAACAGACAGCACCTTCAGTCTGTAACATTCCCTATCTATGAGGCAGAAGTTATGATGGTGAAACAGGCAGACTCCTAGCCCTGCAGCTCTGATACAGGCAAAACCACAAAGACAGACTTTTAGAAAAATCAAAACTGGATCATCCTGCATATGAGGGTCATAGGGTAGGCTGGGATAAAGCCAAGATTTTGGAAATTGAAAATAACATAAGGCATAAGGTGTAACAAGGAATCAGCCCACAAGGCATGTTTAGTGAATCCAACCAGCCAACTCTGTTTGAAAATATATCCCACAGATTCCCTTTATCAGGAACCTGGCAACCTACAGGAAAGTTGATACCATGAGACTCTTCATGGGTAACTGCATGATTCTTGTTCTGGGGTTCAATTTCTGCTCCACTGATGGTGCTAATGGTAGGCTGGTATTGTATAAACTTAAAAATTTATTTTCTTCTAAATTGGTGTGCCTGGAATGGGCTGTTGGTTTAGTTTCATGCACTTATTTTCCAGTTACTCTTCTGTTTTGGTTTTGGATCTTGATATGCATTTTCACAATTCTGAAGGCAAATTTTCCAGTTATCTCCCTTGTCACAAAACCTGATCTAAGGTGCATATGTAGAAACAGTTATACTGTCTTAAGAGTATAGCGATCTAGATTAGCTATTCACCTGAGGAAGGAAACAGATTCAGTTTCTGTAACAATGTTTGTTTTAAAACATTACAAGATGGACAAAGTCCAAAAACTCAGTAATCCTGAGTGTTATATATCATTTTATCTCTAGAATTGACTTTTTGACATGTGTTTATAACAATATTTGGTGGTTATGATGCAATATGACAATGAATGAGTACTCAATGGAAGTGACAATCAGCTTTCTCTATCCTCATGGTTCGTCACTATCCTATGCACATCCTCAACAGCCAGACACACTGAGCATTCCTTCACCAGAAGTCTTAATGCAAGCTTATCCAAGAATACCAAAAGGATGAAAACATACTTTAAAATCTGCTGAAAAATAGTTTACATTCAAAAAATTAAAGTACAAGATGAAATACTAATTATCATGCCTAAAGTACAAATGACTGGCAGCATTATCATGCCTATTGATGGCAGTAACTTCTGTACTGTATGGCTTGCTGTGTTCAAGACATGGTAATAATGTCCCAAAATTATCTATTGTGTAGCACATGCATGTTCATAATTTCATCAGAAGAGATCCTATGGCTGTTCCAGGATAACATTATGCTGATGTCAGGCTACATTACAAACCATATGTATTTTTTTGGTAGGAACAAATTACATTTGAGGACACGGCAGCATAGTTGGCTGAGGCACTATGCTACAAGCTGGAAGGTCACAGGTTCAATTCACAATGAGGTCTTTGGATTTCTTCAATTGACTTAGTCCTTCCAGCTCCACTATGGCCGAGGTCAATGCAGCCTCTTACAGAAATGAGTACCTGGAATTTTCCTGTGGGTAAAGGGAAGCCAGCGTGTAAGGCTGAAAACCCCAATGCCATCTGCGAGTCGAGTGTCTAAAAATGTAG